GTCAACAAATGTCTGAGAGCAATATGTGGCATCTACTATCCTCAAACAATAAGGAACACAGAGCTGTATGCAATGACTAAACAACAAATTATTGCAGACGAAGTTGGGAAAAGGAAATGGAACTGGATTGGCAATACATTAAGGAAAGACCATACAGACATCGCGAGACAAGCGATTTTCTGGAATGTCCAAGGAAATAGGACTAGGGGCCGACGAAGAATTACTTGGCGTACAACTGTTGAACGGGAGGCGGAACAACAGAACAAGAAGCTTCAGGAAATAGCAGCTTTGGCCCAGAATCGAGTGCGATTCAAATGCTTTGTAGACGCCCTACGCTTCATAGTGGAGCACTAGGAACCCATCATCATCAAATGAATTAATAATGCTAAATAATAAGAACAAGAGATAGAATAGATTAGTTTTGCTTAAAAAACGTGTATAGAAACATTTTATACGTAATTTTTCGCTTTACGTGATGAAATTTTACGTAATAATTTACGTAAATGAAAAAAATCATAATTTTTTCAATGTCAAAAATAATGATGTTTTTCATCACAGATTTTTTTCATTCATTTTGGTCCCTGATTTTTTTTTTCCTATTGCGCGCAGGAAATTTTCGCTTTCGATATTCGTCAAGCACCGTGACACTTTTTCTGTGTTGCTTCTCTCTTAAATATCAAATTACATTCGAGTAGCTGAATGGAACGAGAGCAAAACTTTCACTTCTCATTCATTGTCATTCTTGTTGCTGCTGCTGCTGCCGTATTTAAATATGCTGTATGTCTCGATGTATGTATGGAACAAGAAAATCCTATGAATATTTCCATCTGCTTTGACAGTTAAAAGAAATAAAGGATTTCATAGCGTGAAAAATTTAATTACGATTTAACAATTTTGCCTTCTTCATTTGAATACAACATTGACATTTCTCGTTTATATGGAGGATGAAGAAGCTTAAAGAAAACGAAATATAGAGGGGTTGAAGTTTGAGATATGAAATAAAATAGCAAAGGCTTTTAAACTTTACGATCACGGAATTTTTGGAGAAAAATTCTAAGAATTTGTAATGCTTAGTCATCCTCGTGTCTATTATGTAAGAAGATTATTTTCGATAGAGTTGTAGCATGTCGATGTGTAGGATGGATTTTAAATAAAAGGTTTTTGTGATTTCTGAGAAATGTTGAAGCTTGAGATAAATTATAAGACGATTTTAGTTTGATGCTATTCAACTGATTTTTGCAAGTTTTGAGTTTATTAGATCTTGGTTTTTATGCTTAAGAAATTTAAATTTTAATATTTAGTGGAAAAAATTGACTTTTCAACATAATGATCCGAAAGGGAATCGAACTTGTGCTCTTACGGTTTGTCATCAAATAGACTCTCACAACTAGGCTTTCAAGGGTTGATTCTGAGCTTGGCAGAATTTAAACTTAAACTATTAACTTGGAATAAAAACATTATTAGGAAGAAGACTACCTTTTCGAGCTAGAAACACTTAGATTCATCTAGTTATTGACAAATGAGGCTTTTAGATCTTATCTCACTACTGTAAGGTTTGATAACTTCGAGGAATCCCATCTAATTATTGGCGATGACATCTTTATAACTTATGTTTATTTTTCATCTTTAATCTCAACCAGACAGACTTTAAACTCTTCAATAATGTCTGTGAATGACAAGTACTTCAAGTACTTAAATCGTATTCCAACCACACAACCTTTCCTCTTACAATCGTCAAGACAATTTCAATTCGGAGAAAATCTACGACTTCATATTTCTTTGAAGAACATTCCAATAATCCCACTTTAGATACTGTTACATCAGTAAATGAACAAAGACTTTTTGGAAAAGTTGATTACAAATATTCAGTAAATTTAAGTTCATTTTTAAATGTTGAAGATTCATACTTATAAGCTATACAGCCAAAAGCACCACCACAATAAATCAAAATTTCCATAATCTCCACATGCCCCAACAATCTATCGAATAAAAGCAACAGCTCATAACAAATCGAATTATCATTCACCTCGACTTTCCCAGAAATCCATTGAAGTGTAAAAAAATCCCCAATCCTACATTCCTACATCCCACAATGAATTATATCATGCGCACGTTTTGACTGTTTTAACTTTAATTTCATTATTTTAACAATAGAAAAAAAAAATATTTCATTTAATGTCAATAAATGGCAAAAGCACACGGCTGCATATGTGAATATGAAAAAATTGCTCCCCGATGGCTTATAAATGCGTGGGTGGGATGGAATGGTAAATAAAACAATCGCAAGGAAAAAAGGGAAAATAAGGAAAATTTAATTTATTTATTTGCCGCGTTGTTGTTGCCTCAAATAAATTATGGCTTATTGAATGTCGATTGTCTGTACATGCTGATGTATAGGTCGTGAACACTCTGTTGTTTGTGAAAGCAAAAAAAAAGAGTTTAATTTAGTATATAGTTTTTTGCACATCAACCTCTGGCATTATTTGTATCTTCTGCGAACTTCCAAACACGCGCACATTACGTATTATATAATGGAGAGGATTTATTGATCCTTATGTTGAAATTAAGGAGGTTTGAAGTAAATCTGTGCAAGTTTAAAAACAAAATAAGGATCTAAATGATTTTGAATGAAACTGAACAAAAACCTAGCAAGTTTAAACATTTTTGAGCAAACTGAGCAATTTTGAACATAATTGAGCAACAACTGAGCAATTTAAAAAGTCTGAGCAAGTTTGAGCAATTTGAAAGAAAACTGAGCAACTTCTGAGCAATTTTGAACAAAACTAAGTAGTTTTGAATAAAAACTGAGCAACATATTGATTTTTTTCACCTATACATACCACATTCCATCCAAACATCACCACAAGAGACCCACATTTTTCAAAATTCACTGACGTAACAAAAAAATTATATTCTTGCGCTGATTTTACTTCTTTCCACTCTTCTCTCGCTCAATCTAAAAGTATCAAACCGTATAATTTTTCCCCGATCAAGCACACACAATTGATGAAGGACTAGAAAGGAGCGAAAGATGTGAAAAAGGCAGGATAACAGTTTCCTACTTTTTCCTCACTCATTCCTTCTTATTCATTTGTGCTTTGTCATCGAGATTCTCATTTCTCTTCCTTGTGTGTGAAGTATATGAATGTGAGCAACAGCAATAGTGTAAAAATTGTTATAAGATGGTTATGCATGATAGCTTTTGTGCAGAAAGGAAATTGCTTTTCTTATTATTTTTCGTAGAAATATTTTTTTGTTTATATTTGTCTCATGATATGTGTGCATGTGGGTAGGTTTGGGGATCAACAGACTTTATTTTGCATTTAAGGGATTTTTGTAGAATTTGTGGTGAATGGATGTACGTAGGTGGATTCAATTGAAATTAAATTTTATCTCTAATTTAATGATAAATTTATTTAACATATAACTATTAAAATTAACGGTGTTCATAAATTTAAAAAATAACGACTTATGACAATTCAAATTTTCATACAGAAATTTTCAAAATATTTCATAACGGTTTTTTGATCTCAAATTAAAAAATCTCATTTAAAAAGTCAAATCCATCATTTCCTTTATGAACCTTTACAAAAGAATATTTTTCACCTTTCTGTGACTCATTTTATTGAACTTATTGCATGAAAGAAGAGTTTGAAAAAAATTGTAAACGATAAAAAGAAACATTCACTCAAAGTCAAAATGTTTTATTCATTCTTATTCTTGATCACCTTCTTCTTCCTTCATTTCTTTATGACATTCGATGTAAAAACGAAACTGATGTTAAAATAGAACATGTAACGATGGTAATGGAATGAATGTTGGTTAAAGTACAACCTCTCAGAAAAAAACATATGCAAAATGTGATTGGCATTTATGATGTCAAATTTGACTCACTCGTTTTTTCAGCAAAATTGAAGGTTTTTGTGGTGGAAAAACGTTTTTTTTTTCGTATGCAGGAGGATGGTTCTGGATATCCTGCAGATTAGCTTAATTCTCATGCCTTACCTTTTTTTTGCGTCGCACAATAAAGGTTGAAATATGATTTTTTTTTTTTCGAAAATAAATGCTGAATTTTAAGAAGGCAAAGAAGAAAAATATACGACGATAAGGGTCATTTAATCCTTAGCTCAATGTGTAGGATGACAAAGAATTTTTTGACCTTTGAGCAATTTTCTTATTGAATTAAATTCAATTTTTGTCATGCTTTTGAGTGAATTGTTAATTGCTGTGCTGAAAAGCTCGGTTGTTTTGACAAATGAATTAATTTTCAAAATGAAATGTGTGTAGGTGCTTTGGATTGAGGATAGAATTGTTTGAGTCGATGAATTAAGGTTGTTAGAATATATGTAGTTGTTGGCATGGGGCAATTTACTAATTACTATGGAATAAAATTAATTTATTGCAAAAAAAGATTAAAAGATGGTAATGTTCTAATCTTTTATATAAGAAATATTTGGGACTCGAACCCATATGCAATTATTTGAAAGCCAATCTTCCCACCAACTTCACCACTGCAGCTTTTCTCCTTGAGTACTAATTCTTGCAAAAAGCACTTTTTAATTGCTACATTAAAATATTCTCCAAGTATTCGACTTCCTTAACATTCCTCATCAATTTTAAAAATTCATCCATAAATAAACGTTACGGAACGCAAAACTTCTCAAATAATTCATCATCAAATAGCTTAAAGTCATTTCCAATTTTTTATCTTCCTTTTCTCGTCCTTTGAAATATTAAATTTCAAGAACTTTTGCATATTCTCGTTATAAGTACGTTCTTCTTCTCTTTACATACTTAAAATAAAGCGAGTTGAAGCATAAAGAAATCTCTTGAAACTTATCACCTTGAAATATTTGCATCAAGCACGCTATAAAAAGGAAATCTCAATGCCTCCATTGCTGCATAATGTAGCTGATGCGAAATGTAGATTCTTTTATATGAAACAATAAAGAGGTCCCCGCTGGCACACATTCTAAGGTAGAAAGTAGATAAAAACTCACCTTTTTGCAGTAATCAAGTAAATCCATTTTGTCGCGTAAACATGATACACCGGGCACTTTTACACTCAATTCCGACGTCCATCGACCATCTTCCGAAAGATATTGTGGCAAATATTGCTGTCCTGCTTCACATAAAACCGATATTTGTGGCTCCCAACGCGATGATGAGCACTGAAAATAAAGAATGATAAAAAGAATAGGAAATTAAATTTTTTTCTTCACAATTGTTCATTTTATATTTTTATACGAATCATTTCATTGCTTCTGAAGTGAAAATAGAATTGAGAGAAAAAGAAGGAAAATAGAACGAGTCCATGACTGTCGACGTATTAAATTTCACAGCTTATATTTAATTCAGAATTTCAACATATTTTCTGTTGCTCTTTTCAAACAATGATGAGCTTATTTTCGGATTCAAATGGATTTAACACAGTTGCATGATCTTATTTATTAAATTTAACGGATTTTAATAATTTGAATTGTACTTTTGTCGACCATTTTGAATTTTTTGTCACCTCGAAAAGTATTTTGTAATTTAAAGCAGCTTAATCTGCACATTATCTCACAATGATTGTTTATTTCACATTAAAAAGATGGCAAGCGATAGTTACAAGACATTTTAATTAAATTAGTTGCATTATTAATGAATTTTTTGCACTTCATATAAATTACCCTCAGGGCAGACAAAATTAGTCTTGATCATAATTTTTTTGAGCATAAGCTTTGCTTTTTAAAAACTTTCTTATTATCCTAAAGAATTTATTCATTTATTCTCATTAAACGCAGATTTCTTCCTTCTGTTTGCTCCTATTGTTGCTTATCTACACAAAGAGATTGTTGAAATAAAAGCCACGGAAGGAAAATGTTGTTTTTAAGCAAGAAGGAAAGACGACCAGAACAATCTTTCCTTCTTCCTTTGACTGTGTGCTTTAATGAGACATTCCTTATGAAAATAGCAAAGACACGCAGTGCAATATGAAAGAACAACTCGTGTTCTTCATTTCTTATACAAACAGCGATGATTCCTTACTCTTTTTTGTCGAATAACCCGGGAACACGTTGGCATCATAAAATAAATATTATAAAATCCAGACTCTTTCTTCAATACCTCGACTGTCATTCATTCTCATCAGCTTACGATACTTGTGCAGGATGAATGAAAAGAAGATTCATTTTGGTAAATATTTTCACAGCACTCTTTGCAGTTTGTGTCTTCTTTGTTACATAGTCATAACGAGGATGTGATGATTGTGTGAAGTTATACAATTTTTTATCTTCTTTCTTTTTAACAACTTGCTTCTTTTGATACTTTCATACTGTATGTGTATTTTCTTTTTACTAGATTCTCATTAAAATGTGAAATTACTGTGAAGTAATAGCAGAAATGTAAACATTCATGATGTAAGGAAGTAAAGAGCAGAAAGACACACGTGGAGATGAAATTTTTTTGATGAAATTGATAATACTTTTGCGAAAGCCTCGAATTTAGAAGAGTATGTAAGTAAATTCGAAAATAAGGGTCGGAATTTGGCATTCAGTTTAGAAGTTTGAACTTAAAGTTCAAAAACTAAACTTTAGGTTCAAAAATTGATTTTAAGGTTCAAAAATTGAACCTTTAAGTCCAAAAATTAAAATTCTGATTCAAAAACTGACCTTAAGGTTCAAAAATTGAACTTTAGGTTCAAAAACTGATTTTAAGGTTTTGAACTAATAAAGTACAAAATACATAAATAAATACTAAATTAACCTCTAAAATCCCCCTAAAATAGTTGAAACAAAAAATCCACAAAATATTCATTTGTGACCAAAAATAATCGCAATATCTTGTCTACAACCTTTCTAGAAACGTCATAAAAATTTAAAGTAAACAGCAATGACTTTTCATGTTCAAGTCACATCCATTAAAGTAGAATAAATATACAAAATAAGTGTACAGAGACACAAAACATTTTTATAACGAAAATATTTCCATGAAAAAGACACAAACAAAATCCGTAAAAAATCGATACTCTCCCCATTTTTTTAAAGTTAAAATAATTTAATGTGTCTGTGTTTGTTATTTTTCCACCAGAATTCATTTACATCAACAACCCCGAAATAGTTAAATGAACCAAGTCTGCATAATGATACCCATCTAAAGTACAAAATGACTTCGAATTTTTCTTCACCAAATGGAAATTCCAATTTTAATAATGAACCTTGTTTTACATGCGAAGGAAGAAAGGAAAACTTTTCATGCAAAGTAAGTACATGTGCAGAAAAAAAAATAAGAAAATTTGAATGTAGAATGGGGATGACAAATTCACAATTAAGTTCAAGCGATTCAGGATGTCGTGTAAATGGACGTTTCTGGCATATTAATCAGTATTAACGTACCATAATTCCTTCAGCACATGAAACCACACAAAAAGGAATTTTTCCGTTCATTCACCATTTCTCCCCCTTTTGTGTATGTTAAGTAAGCACTGACATGAACGGTATGAATCATACTCCGCAAAAATATTCTTCTTTTTACAATTTTTTAAAGTTGAAAAAAAATCCCTCAAGAATTTCTTTCAAATTGGAGGAAAAAATTTTTAATTTCTGTTTATGAAAAAAGCCATTAAAAGTTTTTCCTGTAAACTTCAACTTCTCTTCTTCGCTGTTTCCTCACTTTTCTCAATTTTTTATTGGCGACGAGCTTCCTTATTATGTTTATGACTTTATGAGTTATAATAATTGGAATTTTTTTATTTCATTTTTACTCGCTCACTTGCCAGGTTAAAAGCTTGGCTGGGAAATTAAAATGGTTTGGTGAATGGATGAGTAGATATTAACCGCTGAATGATTGAAGAAAGTTTTTAATAAGAAACGGAGTTTGTAATAATATTTGCGGATGAGCTATAATTAGATTGGGTTGTAAAAGCAGCAAGCGATCTTAAAAAAGTTGAAATAAGATCAGAATATTATCATTGAGATTTAAAATTGAATATAAAGTTCAAAAATCTCAGTTTAGATTCAAATGGTAAACATTTTGGTTCAAAAATTGAACTTGAAGTTGAAAATTTTGGGTTAAGCTTCAAAAACTTAACTAATGGTTCAAAAATTGAACTTAAAGTTCAAAAATTAAAAAAAATGTTCAAAAATTGAATTAAAGCTTCAAAAGTTGAAATAAAGCTTCAAAAGTTGAAATAAAGCTTCAAAAGTTGAACTAAAAGTTCAAAAGTTGAACTAAAGTTTCAAAAATTGAAGTTTGAGTTCAAAAATTGAACTTTCAGTTAAAAAATTGCAATCAAGAGCTTTAATACCACAAACTTCAATGACAAACTTACTATAACCCCAAAGACTCTAAAAAGAATACTTTTCATCATATGACAATCATCAAAGAGAACTTCTGAGCATGTTTGCTCTAATTAAATTACAAGAATACTTTAAATTGAATTATAAAGACATCGAAAGTAATTTCATTAAGTTCCAGAATGAATCTCGAAAAAAAAATCGTGAATGAAATAATTAAATTACAAAAATTAAAGGCACAAAAAATTCCAGAATTTAATTTAATTTCCGACTTTTTCTTTATCTCATCTGCTTTCTAAAATATCCCGAAAGACTTAAAAATAATTCTTTTCTATAAAAAATCATGATAATCTGTTTGCAAACAAACAAAAAAAAAATCAAGTACAAGCAAACATGAAACAAGAAGTAAGAAAAAATTTATTATGCATGCATTTTATGACGACGATACTCATAAAAAATAAAGGGAGGATATGGAATGTGCGTTGGCATCATCTTAAAGATGAACAAAGGCAAGAAAAATGAATTGTTTCGCTCGATCCTTTTTCTCTGTCGGCCCGTTTTTATCATTATTTATACGACATATCTTCCACATTTAAAAATAAAAACGAAAGCCATTCTATGAATGGGGATGTGAGTGAGAGAAGGGACATTTAATTACATCCAATCCAATGGGATGCTTATATAAATTTCGTCATTTGCTACGCATGATAAAATGTTTCATACTTTTAATATTTATTTCTTATCTTCTTTTCTCAACTTTTAAGACCAAGTCATCATATGTGTTTCTTTATGAAAGTCATATGGAGGATGTATAAGGAGATAAGAGTTGAATAAAAGTGATAAGTGGATTGAAGAAGCTGGTTATTAAAAGGAGTAAGGAGAAGCTTAAAAATTATTTTGTCAAATTTCAAAAATAGAGCTTGAGGTTCAAAAATTGAACTTTAGGCTCAAAAATTAAAGTTTAGGTTCAAAAATTGAACTAAAGTTTCGAAGACCATATAAAATCCACAGTACAATGCAACAAAAAGATGACAATCAGACAAAACTGCGAAAATTTCGAAAAATCAGCTTAATATGCTAACAAATCTTACTTTGGAATGAGAGGCCGAGTAGCAACCCTAGCTATATACAATACGATCCCTTTCGCTCTCTATATTCATGTTATTACGCACATATATATTTTTTTCACGTGTAATATCCTTATTATGTTATCCATGTCTCAAAGATTTATGTTAAAAGACAGAAAATAATGTCGCATGGAAAAATGGCAAAATAGGCAAAATTTAAATAGCACAGTAAAAAAATTTAAGGCAGAACAGAAGTAATGAAAGGTATAAAGGATGAAAATAATTAGCTTTTCAGTTCCCTCCATGTAAATGTTGTCATGTGCTTTTTTTTGTAATTTTAAAGGATTCAAGCTGTTTGCTTAAAGTATATTACTTCCTATCCCATTGAAGCACATGAAGATGCATATATTTGATTCGTTTGTTCCTGCAACATTGCACAAAGCTTAACTTTCAAAAGATTTCTTTTTGTGTACAAAAGTTACAAGACAAAAGCTTTTGTGGATGCTTAGTGATGGGGAGAAACTATAGAACTCTATTGTTGCAAAATGTTATATGAAACTCTTGATGTTCTTTAGTCAATATGTCAAAAAATTCATAAACATTTCTTAAGAGAAGTTTTTCAATATGCAATCAACTGCAAGAAGTATTCATGAGAACTTTGGAGAGTATCCTTGTGGGAATTTTTTGAGGTTATGTTATAGGAAGTATAAAAGGATGTTTTGTTTGTGGTTTGGATGAAAAAAAAATGTAAAATTTACAAAATTTAAGTCTTGGGGTTGGTTTCTTAGCATCACAGGAGATAGTTTTTTAAGGCGGTCTGACCTGTCA